GCTAAAAATTTTAATGGTGAACTTATAAAGAAAAAGGTCTATATATATATACACACATTATATATTTTCACTGGGTGTCTTATATGTAAACTCCTTTAAAAATTTATTTTTATAAATCTGTTTAATTGCAATTCTCTAATTATAGTCATCCGTTTGGCTTTAAATGGAGCATTTAAAGTACTCCTATGTGTGTTCATTTTAAATTGTAACGGTGTAGAACGTTTAGGTGAATTGTCATTAAATGAAAAAATGATTGCTTTTATTGGTGATTACTGGTTCTAATTTACATACTTGGGGGGTGGTTGTGGAATCCTTAAAGTGTGAACCTCCTCATTTGATGACTAATGTCAGTTGTTAGTATGTACCCCATCATCTTCTCCAGATGCCAAATGAAATTGAAAAGTGATTGATAACCTTGCTGGGTTAGTTTATCTCTTCTAAATATATAAAGCTAATATTTTATGTGAATGTCTAGAGGCTTGGACTCTTAGGGGATTACACTGACTGAAAGAGAAGAGCCAGGCTCTTTATTTCTATAATTGTGATTTGGAATCACCACGGATGAAGGAAAGGTTGAATTTGAAGCTTGATTTTGGTGTATAAGATGTGCCTTGAAAGCATCAGAAGTGTCCATGGTTGTGTGAATATGAACCTTTGGGATGAAAAATGTGATCATTTGGGGGAGCAGATACTCCTTTTTTGAAGCAAGCATCAGCACTTGTTGAAAGATCTGTCATAAGGTACTGGTGTAGTTCATAAAGGAGACCACAGTTTCTAAAGCTGACACATTGTTTGTGAAAGGAAACTGGTTGCTTTGTTTTGCTGAAAAGAAATGGAACCACAGAATGATGACAGAATCCTTAGACTCTTTGGACTAGTCCAGGAAGGGAATTACGCACTGTAATCACATTGATCCATCCAGCAAATTGTGGGTTCTTGTTTTGATTCAGCATCCCTTTCAGACAGGAGTGATACACTTCTGACCCTCCCTCTTCTCCCTCCTAGACACTGGACACCCATTTTGATGATTTAGTAAGCATTTAGTCTTTCCATTGCCCTCCAGTAAAACGTGAGCTGGTGCTGGACAGAGTTCTTTTTCTTGGCGTTACCTCTGTCTCCTCACCTTGAGAAAAGAGCTTGCCTGGATGGTCTCTTAAATTTCCATCTCCAGTTCAGTGATTCTGTTACACTCTGCTTCTAAGTAACTGTTTTTAATATTGTATCGAAATTGCTTGATTGCTAAGGTTCACAGGGCATGCATACACTGCTAGTTCCATGGCCAACAGAGAAGCCAAGGGAAATACTGTAGGAGTTTATTCATGCCTTTGTTCATTCACTCACTCACTCACTCATTCATTCATTCATTCATTCATGCAGCCCTTGAATCTACTCAGTATAAGCCTTCTTACATCTTCTCTGCTGTCGGTTTTATGCTAGGTATATCCTACATCCTTTCCCAGGTAATTTCTGGTTCTTTGTTTTTTTTTCAGCCCTGCCTCTATGACATCTTTGAAAATTAACTTCTTTATAGCTTTGCACTTATTTTTTGACAGGAGAGGAAGATGGTTCGGTGCTCTTTTTGTTTGTTTCCTTCACACAAGAGTTTAATCGTCTGTGGTGGAGAAGTTTTTTGTGAAGCCCTGGGTCTGCATGACCATTACCATATTAAGCATGTGATTTTCAGGTGACAAATTTCAGAATGCCAGTATCTTTTGAAAGGAGCCCTAACCTTCAGCTTCTCATCTCAGATGAGTTTTTTCCTTTCTTATTTTATCTTCTTGTTTCCCATGATGTGGTTGCTTTGTGGGACTCTCATTCCTCTTAAAAAAGGATTCTTTCAAATCTAAAAAATTATTGTTATGACTTGAATTTATAGATTTTCTTTGGATGTTAATGATTGTCGTATTCACTCAAGAACTGTTCCTTCATTAGAAGTGCAGCAAAAGTGAAACAAGTATTAAAAAAAAGTTAGTGAATAAATATCCCTGACTTTGGTTTTTACTTCTAGGTGACAGTAATTTAAACAAATTAAAGTTAGATAAAGTAATAATACCTTATATTTGCATAGCATTTAGAAATTTCTCCTAAGAAATATCTCTTCAACCCATTTACTGCATTTGAAGTTTTTGATTGTAGTAGTAAAGTTAGGAAGCGGAAATTCAAAATTCTCATCTATCAATAGGGTTTTGTTTGGCAGAGGCGGGGGCATAAAGAATCTTCATTTTTAAAAGGTTTCCCAGATGGTTCTGCTATTTGTGTTGGAACAGAATCATTGCATTAGAGATTGTATAACTTTCCTTTAAATATATATGATATAGAAGAAGAAATAACTAAGTAAATCATTCTGCGTGTTGAAGAAAATTATTTGTTTTCCCATTAATATTTCAGGAGAAATGCTGTTTTGCAGACGCTACAAAAGCCAAGCATATATCTGCCTAATAACCCAGCAGTTCCGCTCCTAGGTATATACTCAAGAAAACTGAATGCAGTGCGTATATCCACCAAAAATACAGATGTGTAGAAGGGGTGTTTAATAGCAGCTTAATTTGTAATAGCTCCAAACTGGAAACAGCCCAAATGTTCATCAGTAGTAGAATGGGTAAACGAATGGTGGTATATTCTTAGAAGTTGAATTAATGAACAAACTATTGACACAGGCAACAGACAGGAATGAATTTCACTGTCTTAATGTTTAGCCAAAGAAGCTAGA